GTTGGCCTTTGAATTGTGGGCCCTCAGGACACCAAAATTTGATGACAATGTTAATATTTCTCTATATTAACACTGGTTCTCATCTACAGTGAATTTTATGAAGGCATGCATGTTTTTTATGGGAATTTATAAAACATTTATAAAAGAATTATGCACTTCATTCTATCGGTAATCCAAATAATACACTTTTATTGGCGATAGAAGCCATTTGGTAATGCACAAATGTGACATTATATGACATAAATGACATTACCAATGACTCTTTACAGGTTTCATTCAATCATTGGCCATTTTACTGCCATGCTATTAACACATTGTCATTGGCCAAGTTGTTTTCAACTGTCATTTGAAATTGATAAAACTTTTACAAATATTGTTATAAAAAAACATACCCTTATGAAATTCATTGTACATAGTTAATTTCATTTAAGCATGAAATTTCAAAAGGCATTTGAAAACAACTTGATCTAATTATAATGCCTATCAGCTACCTGAAAATTAACATGTTTTCCTGATTTAATTGTTCAAACAATACTATTTTTAATATTCTAATGTATATTTTGAATACATTTGATGGGATCTGTGTTCCCCATATATCCGCTATGATTTGAGGGAAAGGCACACAGACTTGTGGATGCTAGATTTTACGAAAACAAATGGAATCTTCTTCTGCTGATTTGAATGTAATGTCTTCCAGGGTAAACACTCATAAATACCACACATAACTCAATGTATGGGATAATACAGTGAAATGCATAAAGCAGGGGTTGTTATAAATGTTTTATAAATATACATTTCTATGAATCAAAATCTATATTAGTATTCAAATTTACCAATCCAGAAATAATAGTGTGACATCATCGTTTATAGTTCTAATGGATATTAATGGGTTAGTTCAACATTATTCAACCAGCAAGCACCTCATTTTGAATAAGAGGGCAATCGCATTTGCTATGTCCTCTGAAGTCAAGGGTATTATAGGCGTCAACAATGTTTAGCAATTAAGCCAATCACTATTAAATTATAAGCAATGCCCCAGAACTGTGTCTGTCAATGTATATTCAATATTAATGCAGTCTAACATGAACAACTTATATCTAAACACCATAAGCTGATATAAATTTACTGACATTAAACAATGGCAGTCCAACGTACATGTTTAC